TCAAGGAAATTCATGCTTTGCTAGTAGTATTGTCATACTACCAGATGCGTTATACTGCATTGACTAACCCCCCCCCCCTCCCACATGACATGTGATGTGATTTCCAGTAAAGGTGCCCACTCCCAGTCTGTAGGGATATTCAAGTGAAGATACATCCTTATTAATAATAAAACAGTAACAGATTACTCTGTTTCAGATCCCCATATTTTTTTGTTATTCAGTTATTCACTTAATTTGTTTTCTTGCCTCACTGTAAAACCTCAAAATAAGTCCTCGAAAGTTAGGGAGGGGTGGTGGGGGGGGTTGTTGTCAGGTGCTCCAGGCCTCTGGTTATTGTCAGAACCCTCGCCACATCATCCAAAAGCAGGTGATGGCTCTCAGATGTGCATTTGGGTTTCGCTGAGCTATTAAGGGTGTCACTGGACAACCTCGATTGACCTGCTGTGGAAAATCAAAACGAAGAACATTTCACAGAGGATTATTAAATAATTCTTATTTTTGTGTCTCTGGAAGAGAAGCCAACATGTAAGCTGCAAAATATTCCTGACATAGGAGACTAATTAAACAGAATCAGATACTATAGAAGACTATTAATTTGGAAAATGGCCCATAGTGCTGTTTCTTAACCCAGTGTTTCCAGCCTGGTCCTCGGGGGCCCCTGGATAATAGTGCATGTTTTTCACGGGAGCAAAAATGTGGACGGTCTAAGGGGCTCTGAGGACCACGTCGTGAAACACTGTCTTAACCCATCACAGAATAGAGATAAGCAGGGACGTGCAATTATCATGTAGAATGCAGGTGAAAATACCTTTAAGGCTTGAAACATCAGAGTATAATTAGCCTGGACTGTGTAAATAAATCCAGCTGGCTTGCTGGTGAATTCTGGTGCATATATCAGGCCTCCATCTCCGTCCCCATGGATGTCTGCACATGCCATTGTCTTCACCGGAGATGGTAATATTTCACAGCCCAACGCTCGATCTGGAATTCACCGTGGATACTGCTCCACATTAATGCTGCACCAGATTGACACCAGCTGGGTTCTGACCCAAAGCATACATGTTTCATCTGTCCCGTGTTCATCCCGCACACCGGAGCTAAAGCAGAGCTGTAAGGCCCTCCACGTAAATCAATGCTTTTAAAGGCCATGTCAACAGGCTGGTGTGGAGAGGTGTGACTGTGTTATTACATGCTAAGAAACAGCTAAGTGACACCTCTGATTCCATCCATCTGCATAGCCAATGGAATATTTATACCTCTTAAACAAAGCAGCCTATTTGTACTCCCGGGGATTCAAACCCACAACCTCCTATTCCTGGGTCAATGCGCTATTTGCTGAGCTACAGGAACACATTACAAAAGGGCTTCCCTTTTAGAGTGTATTATCTGGCTAAGGATGATGTGTGTGTACTTGCTTCACTTGAATGGTTAGTTAAACCCTGCAAAGGGTTGGCGCCCCATCCTGGGTTGTTCCCTGCCTTGCGCCCCTAGCCTTCGGGATAGGCTCCGGACCCCCCCCGCGACCCTGAATAGGATAATCGGTTTTGGAAAATGGATGGACAGAATGATTAATTATATACATTGCTGAATTTTAGCAAGCCGTGAGCTTACAAAAAAATGAGTGAGGCAGGTTTAGTTTAAATAAAACCTGTGGCATATTATTTGAAATGATAGTAATTTATCCATAATCAGACCACATTCTGGAACAAATCTATTTTGTTGGCTCATGGTAGGCATTTTGCTCATCATTTCTTGCTTCTTACAGTCCTGGCGGTTTAGGGGATTGATACTGGCTCTGGTGAAACACGGTATAGTCATACTAATGCACATGGGAGAAAACTTCAGCCAGAAAACAATCATGCAGGTTTTCTTGCTTTAATTCCTGTCAAAATAGGAGCTTCTCTTCTCATAAATCAGTGGAGTTTCTGCGCTCTACCAAAGGTTGGTCTGGGAAAGAGTACCTCGCAGGGAGGACCATAAGGTGGTCCATAAAGAGGGTCTTTTGGTAACCCAGAAAGGGAACCGCCAGGTGACCCTCGAGGTAGGCCATTGAAATTGGTGAGAGACATGACTCCAAGCTAAGAGATAGCAATGCTCTGAACCTCTCCTGTCAAGTAAAACTTTTCTGTATCTGTAATGTACCATTGCGATGCATGGTAACATTTAGTTTAAAAATCCTCATCAAGTTATATTCACTTTTTCTGATGACTGTGGAAGATTACACACCTTTTTCAAGAAAGCTTGACTGCATTTTTTATATGACAGTCAGGCCTTGCACAGCACGGCAGAGCCCAGCCCAGCATTGTTACAAGCAGTACACAGATGGATAGCATTTATTTTTGACTTGGCTCTGCTGAAATTTTTGTGCAGATTCCAAACAGCGTTTTGCTTTTAAGCTAATAGGATTATTTCTATATGGCTAGCTGAAGAACTGCAGGCCACAAAATGTGCATAAAATCATAGCCGACCGTGCATTAAAAATAACGGTACTGGCCATATGAAAGAAGAAAAATACAGACATGACCACCTAATAGAAGTAATATGTCTTGTTTTGATTGCTTTTGGCTCATTAAAAGGTCTACCAGTTACCAAAGATTGCAAATTACACCAGTCATAAAATGATTAATGTTGTTTCCCGTTTGGCTGTGAATTGGCAGATTAGCCATAGCGTTACAAAACCACATGATAATATCATCTGACTAGGCATGCATGGTAATGGCTGTAGACCAGCTTAAACAGCCTAGGAGATATCCAAAGCATGTGTATCGAACACATGTTCAAAGGTTGAAGCAAAACAATTATGATTACGCAATCCCTCTCAGTCGCCGGCGAGTACAAGGCTAACGAGAACCAAATGGTGATTGATTTCAGGTTGATCTGGGACCGGCATCGTCGCGGAGTGGCCGAGGGGCAGGGCCCTTCAGCAGTGCTGCTCAAGGGGCGACTTAGTGCTGATTCAACGAATCAGAAGCTAATCCTTCCTGATCTGCCCTGCTGAAAGGCCACATGGAGATTAAAAAGGGGAATCCACCTTGATCGAATTCAACATTTTGTGACGGGAACAAAGCGAGGGACGAATCACAGGCCACCAAAGGCAGCTAAAGCCTGTAGAATTTCCATTTTGTGTGGCGAATGATGAATTCATCATTTTATCCTTTCCATGAAATGTGCTGTAAATATATTCCTTAATCTATAGGCCTAGTTGATCCCTTGATAGTATGTATATTTGTAATGTGCTATTTGCCACTTGTGCATCAATTTGGACAAAAGCAAAAAAATATCAGCATGGGGGGGGCGGGGGTACACTGTGTGACTCAGCAGATTAGGTCGGTGTGCTCAAATCCCATGGTTGCAAGGTGATATCACCATTAGGCTCCTAGGCCAGACCCTCGTTCTCTAACTGCTCCAGGAGTTGTCTGCCCCTGCTTGCATATGCATCGCCTTGGACAGACATGTCTGCTGAGTAAGTGAATGGAATATAATCTGACATTAACAAGAGGAGGAAAAACATGCACTGTAGCTGTAAAAGTAATTCCTGTAATAATAATGGCTGCCTGCCTTCTTCTTGATGCCCTTTGGATATGGTGCATTTTGAAATGTTTTCTGATTCCTCACATGGTGCAGGAATACTTCTGTTATTATTTTCTGCTAGATCATGCGAACAGTGTTCAGCAATCCCACCCCCGCGTACCCCCACCCTGTTAATATCTGAGATGGAGTGTATCCAAACACCCCCATTCCCAATTTCAAACACACACACAGACAGACACACAGAATCTCCCCCAGACCTACCGGGTCTCTGGCCAGCTCCACATTAGGTAATGCTTACACTTTTCCTGCTGAGGGTGGGGGGTGGGGGGGAAGGGGTAGTTGAAAAAAAAAAAGATTAACGTTTCTGCAAATGCTGCAGAGCACCAGTGATCAGCTAACCCCCATACAGACAATGTCTGTGCTATCGGGGATTACAGCGTCTGCATCAGCCCCTGTTTGTTCCATTATTCTTTTTCCGGAGATGTGCTGTGCAGGGAGGGGGGTGGTGGGGCGAGATGAGTCAAGGTGGGACGTCATCCCATCGTGCGAGGGATTTTAAAAAAATGAATCAAAACAAAAATGTGACTGTATATTGTTGGGCAGGCCTTGGGTGCAGTTTGAAAGACTGACGTCACACTGTTTCCACGTGTTGCTTTGCTTGTTTGTTTGTTTGTTTGTTTGCTCGTTCCAGGAACCAAAGGGCTAATGACACCTGCTGGCTGTTTCCTGACGACGAACAAGGCTGCTTGTTTTCTTCTTTGCTGTGGTGCTTGAAAGCTGAATGATATTCAGCATGTATTATCATATTATTGCTATCTTGATACCTCGCTTTTAGGAAACAGACCTAAGTTCCCAGTAACGTTTCCCAGTGGTTTCACCACTACTGTGATGTCAGGCCTCTCCAATTTAATTATCCAAAGCTGGATGGACTGCCAATGAATTTTTTTTTCTGTCAATAATTTTCAAAAAATTTCCATTGCTCACAAAAAACTTTTGACTGACTTTCAACTGTCATCTCACTGTCACTGTGAATTCCAGTCTTTTCTTAATTATTCCTTAATTATTTTTTCTTGCTCTGTTGTCATGCAGCGAAGGAAAGCAGATGGGCCCCTGGCCTGATCCCTGTTTATGCCTACAGATTCTGTAAATAATTTCCTTTCTCATCAATCATGGGCCTGCTTTGAAAAGGCACTGAGTTGCCACTCTGAGCTAGAACTCCAGCTCCTTCCTGTTTCTCTCATTTCAAAGGGTTTTGTAAGATTTGGCTCAGCCTGGTACAAGCAGCCTGCTGCAGTAGTGTAATGCACTGGATGCCGCAGCCTTTGTACGGAGCGTGACCCACTCATGAGGCCATGTCCCAGCCTACCGTTCCCTGTCAGCAGGAGGCTCACCAAAGCTCCAACCCAAAATCTGTCCCTTCGAGTCGGGGGGTGGGGGGTGGGGTAGCGTTTCAGCTCTCTGCAGCTTACCTCGTAAATGTCAGACCTTGCCCACTTTTCCATCTTATGCCCTTTCATATTTCGAACACAGCTGTAGAATCTGATACAGAAGGACAAAAACAAGACCAAGTGTAAGGAACTGGATTGCATTCAGGCCTTAAACCGATCTCATACCTAGCAGGTCACTGGTTTAGAACTCAGAAGGAGTTTTTGCTTAACTCTTAAGGTCTGTTCACGCTTAACCTGGGCTCCGTCGGTAAATATTCGGTAGGTGGACCTCTGCGATACGTCTCAGGCACCGGCCGAAGTTTATGTTCTGTATCACCCAAATCCCGCGCCAGATTTTTTGTTTTGCAGTGTTTTGATTGCCTAGAGATATGCGTCCATCCGTCCGAGCTGGCCAATCGGCGAGACCCTCTGTTGTTTGTCTAGTGGCGAACTGTTTATGACAGATCAGTTGCTCCTGCTAATGTGGAAGCCTTCTGCTATTATAAATCTCGCGTCCTTTTCAAACAAAGCCAGGCCGGTTCCTCCATCCTTTTTTTTTCTCATCCCCAGCAAGAAAACAGCCGTTTTTCGAGTCCCGAATGGAGCCCGTCTCCCTCAGTCAGGGAAAATCGCCGGAGAGTTCCAAGACATGGGTCTCCATTGCGGGAGCACGAGGTTTATTTTTGACTGGGGCTCAAATGACTCCACAATGGGAATAGTGCTTTTCTTTAAAGCTAACATGGTTATTTCTGTGTGGCTAGCTGAAGAGCCTGATTTGTGGCTGGCTAAAGACTCATGTTAAAAGTCACAGGGTACCGCTTCTGCACAGCATGGCAAGGAGGAAACATATCGATTAATTCGGAGGGGGACAGGAGGCCATGACAGGCATTCTTGCGCTAGATTATCTTCTCCTCTTGGCAGAGACTCGAGCCACAAGGTATTTGTTTAGACGAGTTAAGAAAGAATCCCTCTGTAATCCAAAACCCCGACTCTTAATTTCAAATATCTGCTCTCACATCTGGGCCGTGTAGCATTGTGTTGTGTGTGATTGCAACCAAAATAAACCAGAGATTATTTGATCGTGGTTATTGGAACAATATGGCATGCTAAATCCATAAAGCAATGTACATATCAATTGAATCTATTTATGCAAGTTAGCAAACCACGAAAAAGGCAGCATGGCCAAGTTGTGTGTGTGTGTGTGTGTATATATAGGGGAAATAGGGAACCAGACATTTCTGCATGATTAAAAAATGAACATATGTAAAAGCCAGGAGTTTCGTGTTGGACTCATGCACTAGGTTTCATATTTATCAGGGTACATATTGAAAGTGGAAAGTAGGAGAAATGTCCATTTTCTTTCTCACCGAGGGCCTGGGGGGGTTTCGATGATTTTGTCCAGAGCAATGCAGTGTTTTCTGTCAGAAATGGTTAAAGTTCTGTAGCCACTCCGAAGGAATCACAGGTGTGATCAGGGCAAGGCAGCCATGTGTTGGTACAAAAGGCGAATGCAGAACCTTGGAATCTGGAAAAGAAGCAAAAACACAACTGCTTGTGAGGACTGGATGCCCAATAAAAAAGATCAATAATGCTTTTAGTGCTGCTTCTCTAAGCCTCTCCGAGTCCAAAAGGAGACTAAGAGAGGCTGTGGAGTTTCAGCTATAAAAATTGTTTTCAATATAAAAAAAAAGCTTGACTGGGGTCTGTCTCTGAAAAAGGAAGCGCGTTGCCACGGTGATCACAATCGGTGCTCGTGGGTCAGGTGGGCTAGAGCCCCTCCCACCCCCGCCACCTTTGGCCTGGCAAGACGTGTGACATCACAACCTTTTAGTTTTAAATCATCGTCCAACATCATCGCTCAGGTGTCGGTGAGATGACCATGCCCTTATTTAGCATGAGCCCAGAACTAACCCGCCCGGCCTGGATCGAGCCCTCATCAGCACCGCTACCAGAACCCCGGGGAGAAGAAAACCTCAGCAGATCCTTCAACAGCGACTGCTTTCCCATCCTTTTATTTGCTTTTTTAAGAAATAAAATGGTTTAGCCATTACCTCGTACAGGAGGGGGAATACGCTTTATTTTGACGCATGTCTGCCATTTCTCTCCCCGTCTTCTTTTGGCTGCTTGCTTAATATTATGTTTTCCTCCCCGTGATGGATTTGAAGGAGGTGCTTATATTTTATACTGACGTGCGCGTCCCGCTGCTCTGAAGGGCTTGCTTTTGGAGTCATAAACCTATCATTAAACGTCATTAATCCCCAGGCTGCACTCACAGAGGCTGCAAATCTCGTAAAGAGCGAGCCCGCCACAGCCTCTCGCGGGACGCGCTGCAGAGACACTAACTACTGCTGGCCAATGGACTCTGACAGGAATTATGACCTTAATAAAGTCTATTTTCTAACATTTGCATGCATAAGCGTCTTATATGGGACAGCGAGAAGGCTGTCTGGCCCACGTTTAGGAGCCTCACGGGGAGCGTTTCTGGCAGCGCCACACCTGGCGGCGGCCCAGGCTGGATGTGTCCCCGTGGCTAAATTAGCCATTAGCGACGACAGCCTGCCGGCTGGCGGCTCCACAGCAATGTCCCAACTGGTCTGCCGGGCCGGCAGAAGTCATCCTGGGACAGTGAGCCTACCGTAGACCGTCCCACTCTCCGCTAATGCAGAAATAATAAGGCTGTCACAGAGGAGAAATTCTCCACTCTTGAGGTCCATTTGGACTCTCTGAATGGAACCCGGACGCCTGTACGTTACGCATGGTGTCAAAGCCATTTCTCTTCCCGGCATCAAAAGGGCCGGTATTGGATGGGGAACGGAATGCAAATAAACAGGTAATTATGCCTTAAAGATGGCCGCTTTTTCTTTCACGTGGTAATGGATCTGGCTTCCATAACTGTCACTTGTGTAGCGCCGTCCACATCCAGCAGAATCTGGACACCTTCTGCGTCGCCCCGCGGACAGAGCCAGCACAGAACTGGATGACACAAAGCCATACATCCATCCAGTCAGGTGCTGCCCTTCACGTCGGCAGAGCGCTTTAACATGCATCTCTTTGGGTCACAATCCTGCCCCCCACTGCGAGGATTATTAGGTCTTAATTACCGGTGCATTTCCTGAGTGTTCCAAGTTCTTAAAACACACTGCAGGGAAAATAAGTACATTTCCGGAGAACAGGGAGGGAACAGCCAATTGTTCCGATGCATGATATCATTAGGGGGAAAAATACAAAAAATTATTGAAAAAACTGGCAAGCAATTGAGAAAACAAGAGGAGCAAAGACTTACATGTGTTTCCCTTTGGAAAAAGAGGAAATAAATTATTTTTTATTGGTTTTAAATACATCAAACATCAGACAATTAGCACAATTACAAAGTCAGTTCCAGTTCGTTCTATGCATGATAAATTACTCTGTAATTCTCCTGTAATTCCCCTAGCAGCTCTCATCTTATGCTAGGTTTCAGACGTATTGTGAAAACACATTGTTCCAGGACCAAAAATGTGCCAAATGTTATTCGTTCCGCTAATTTCCCAGACATAAAGAACCACGCACATCTTCGATTTTACTGTCAAACCATAAGATCGGAATCCGGTCAAGTCTGAGTGACCTCAAATGACCCCACTGCCAAGCAGTCCCCAACCCAGACAGACATAAACTTACAACAGCGGGGATCGAGGCAAAATGTGGTGGCGCTGGATGCTTCTGGGACTCCCTGGATGTAATAAATTGCACAAAGCTCATGATAATCATTTCGCTAACTGAGGCTTTTCCCCGTATTTACACAAAAAGCTGAGCATCATGTAATGCTGAGCTGCCTGGCTATAAATGTAGGTGTTTCCTCATAGATTAGGACCATATGCGACGGACTGCTAACACCCCCGAGCCTTTCGCTGCTCGCAGATGAGGAAAAAGCCACTTCCAAGTTTTGGTGAAGTGCTTGGGACACTACGTGGTGACAACTTTCATTTTTCACTTGCTAGCTCTGCGGTGGTGCCACCTGTCACCATGACGGCCCGCACAGCCTCACACGCTGGCGACAAGCTGGTTGGTTGTAAAGCTTACAGCTGGCAGGCCTGCTTACCAGGCTACTGTAGAGTGCAGGTCCATTGCAATGTGCGTCTTTAGGGATGTAGAGGAAACCAGCAGCGTAGTTTCTGCAATAATCTCAAATCGCTGCACACGAGCAGTGGGAATACCATTGACAAGAAAAGTCAATAGGAACAGAAAACCACAACTGTCCTTTCTACATACATTTTTTAAAGGCGCCCCTTTTGTGTGTGTGTGTGTGTGTGTGTGTGTGGTATGATGGCAAGCCCTTTCTTGGGGAGGCAGATTAAAAACCTAGGGGGTGGATTATGGCTATAATGGGTTATTAACGCGCCCCCCCCCCAAAAAAAAAAGAAGAAAAAAAAAACTCAAAGGAACAGTGAGATCCTTTAAGAAAACCAGCAAAGGACAGATTTATGTTACCTCATATGGCTTCTGAAAGAATCATTATCGTTGGTTAATAGTCTACCAGAGGCAGGAAATCAGCCTTGCTGTTCTTATACAAAACTGCATTAAAAGAAGATTAATCCCTCATAACCAAGTCTGCTTTTCAAAAGGCGGGGGGCTGGCAGGTACTGCCTTATGAGAAAAAGATTCAAAGCCAAACCCCTATGTCCTCACCTCATTTATCCTGAAACCACTTTATACTGTATGGATGATTTTTTTTTGGGTTAAATCTTATAATGTGCATATGTAATAATTTTTACTGAAATACAAGGAATAAGATCTGTTTAATATCATGTTAAATAAAAAAAATTTATTTTTATGGGGACAAACTTATCCTTAAATCAGATGCATCAGGGATATGACACAGGGCTCAACATCCAGTATCTTCAAAAATAACTGCAAGCAGGCCTGCTGTGTGTCTCGCTTATGCCAGGGGATGAGATGATCTCCAACCCCCCCCCAAAAAAAAAAGACAAATTGGAATAGCGACACACCCGGGGGTGCCAAGGTGTTGTGCTAGTTTGCTTGAGGACTAGCAGAATTTTGCTGGAGAATTGCCTTCTTGGGGGGGGCAGTTATCATGCTGGAGCTGTTTAGATTTCCAAATAATTCTTATTTCTGAAGATTCTTCTTCTCCCAAACTGGTTGATTTCAGGCCATTTTTTCAGCAGATTAAATGACTGAAGAAAAACAATTCTTAAGCATATATGGTTTCACTCTTTCATTACACATCAGCAAGAAATGTAACAGTCTCATGTAGTAATTCTATGCTACTGTTTGCAAACTTGCTTTTGATTAAAAGACTGGTTCGATGGAACCGTTCAGGCAAGATTTGGCCCTTTGAACGAGAAAATAATTACCACTGCACTTCTGCAAATACTAAAAGGAAGGTTATCAATTAATCAACTAAGCATGGTCTTTATATCGAAAGCATGGTCTTTATATTTAACCGCTAGCAGCCCTCATTGGCCAGAAAGAATTAGGCGGGAGAAATGTTTTAAAGTTTAACTGGTAGATGACTCTATCTTTGGGATGTAGCATAGACAGAGAAATGCGACAAAACGGCGAAACCTAAATATGGATGTGTAAAAGAACAAGCATTTTAAAGCTTATAAAAGTTTAGATGGATACAAGTATTTTCTGGCTGGTCAAGTACACGGGAGTGGTATATGGGAAATTTCCGGAAAAGATCGCTTCCTGATAAATGGACCAGAATTTTATATTTATCTATTTAATGCTGCAATGTCTAATGACAGATACACAGCAGGTTACATGAAACAACTCTGTATAAATCAGTTTTGATATCAGCCTTAAGCTGGGCGATATGGTAAAATATTTTATCATGATTTTTTCCCCCATGTCAAATGAACGATAATTATCACGATATAATTCAAGTCAAAATTTCTTTACTTCAAAGCTCCATTTTTTACTTGAAAATCCCTTAGAAATTCCCTTAAATAAGACCAGAACATGAAAAAAATACAAACTGAACTGACTCCAAACTAAAACCTAATTTTAACAAATCATATCAATAACCATAATTAAATAATACACAAACGCATGATTCAGTGGGCTACAGATTTTCCCGTCTGACCGGCACAATCCACTTACTGGGTCTACTGGAAATCTGTGAGATGTTAAATCAGGTTTATCACCTCAAACGTCTCAGGCACATTTACAAAAAAATCTGCTCGAAAAATAAATACAGCACAATCGGCTGTCCTGCGTCATAAGGCGCTGCTTTTGGAAAGACAGTTGATTTTGCCCGGCAGTGGAAGGGCAGACCGAACCATTTTTGCGTTTTAGGGAAAGTAAAATGCTTTTCGACTACTATGTCAAGGTAATTTTAGGAATATAAAAAATAAGAAGTTTTTATGTCATTCAGAAACACTATATAAAGCTTTCACAAATATGTATTTTTGACGAATTATCCCAGCAGATTATTTAAAGGTTAGTAAATTTTCCCCTCCCCCCTTCGACCCAGGGACAACTGTCGGCGGCCCTGACTGTGAGGAAATAAATAAAAGCTGAAATGTGTTGTAATCATTAGTGTAGTCATTAATAGGTATTTGCGGTATTAATGTTGACTTCAGAAACTACAAAACAAAAAAAAAGTTTACCCCTAGTTGTGCAACAAATGTATCGTAAGGACTTCGGCTCCCGCGTCTAAGGTGGAAATTAAGCGCAATGGTAGTGCATGTGGCGGTCTGCCGGAACCGGGTGTGTGGCTCGGCCCGTGTAATGGCAGTGCTGGTTCTGTGTCTCTTGGCTGCGCCTCCGGTGGGACAAGTCCCATTGCACAGCATCGTTACTGAAGCGCGACAGGGGTATATTTTGGAAAGGCACCCCCGCATTCCTTCGGCGGAAGAGAAGATGGACTGTTTCTGAGAAAACCGGCGATTAAAAACGGCTTTTCTCAGAAAACCGACCTAGTTACCCTAACCAAAACATAGTATTCCTTATTACCAAAATGAAAAATAAAACAAAATAAAAAAGTCAACCGTTTTACATTCTGCTAATGCAAAGTAAAACAACGCTTTGGCCCGAAAAACAACCCTACTTTTTAGTAAATTATCAATTTAAATTCCTATAAACTATTTCAGGTCAGCAGCAGGTGGTAATAAATACACAAAAAATTATTTCCTGCCTTCCTGCTTTATCGGACTGGAGCAGTTATCCGCACCACTTTCTCATAATCGGAAATCTTATTTGCGTTAAGGATAGAACGTGCCAGAACAAATAATGAAAGTCAGCAACGCAAATACACCTCGCGCGGTGCGGTTTAAACCGGAAGAGAGTCCCTGCGGAAAAGCCGGGGGAAGGATGGGGATCCCCGGCCGATTTCTGTTCATGACTTGATAGGACCGCAGGTCGGAAAAATCCAGAACAACTGCTGTTTATGGCCCCCTGTTGGACTTGGAGGAAATCGAAACCTTCAAATCCGTGTTAAACTCGTCTACCCACTCCAATTGTTTAGCATCGGAGCCCGTGCAATCAATTTCCCCCCGCAAATATGTTATTTCACATCCAAGACCAAAGGTGTTCCCTTTTCCTAACATTTTCCATACTAAAATTGAGTTCTTCACTTTTTTCCCGAGCACTCCTGGGTTTGCAGGTAGCCTGTGTGAAATCTCCCTCCCTTAAAATGTTTCGCCTTACAAGAATTACACACCAATTGCTACAGACACCTACTATCCACACTTAAATCCCACAGACTGAAACGACCCCTTAAAGGGTCTGCATTTACAGCATGCGCTTGTAATTCGAACCATGCATTTTAAATTCATTTTTAAAAGCGTTGCACTTGTAGGCACCGGTGAACCACCATCCCAAGGAATTTCGCGAAATTACAGCCGGCAAATTTTGGCACGTCCTTAGTTTTTTTCTTTCTTTTTATTCTGGAGTTTTCGTTCATTGATAATTTGTTTGCTTATTGTTTCTGCGTGGAGCTTTCACCTCGTTTGGCTGGGAAAACCGGTAACCCGCCGCCGACGGCCAGAAACTTCGCACTAAACAAAAACACCCCGGAACAGCCGGATCGGAAATTAACGGAGAGCCGTAACTATCGCCCGCTAGTAAACAGCGGTTTATAAGAAGAGTCTCTTTTGGTTTTGTGCCTCTAAGAAACACGTTTAGCATGATTCCATGTCATGCAAGATTGGTTTATATGAGGCCAGCTCCGGTGTAAACAATGCTGAATCTTTTTTAGTCTGATTGGCGGGCCAAAACTCATTATAAACTTTCCTGGTCTTTATTACCAGACCGCACGCCACTATGCACAGTATCCCCAAGCAAAGGGGCAATAGAAAGCCCAGCGGTCTGTGCCCTATCAGAAACACCGTTTTATCAGAGTATTGGCTAGGTAGGTACAGGCCACGTGCAGTATTTATAAGGCGGGGGGACGATGCTTTATGACTTTGTTTTTTTGGGCTGTAGGATAAGGACCCCCACCGCCGTTTTAATCGTAATAGAAGACAAACACAGTGAGAGGCAATAAAACACAGCCACCCGACCTCATTCGACCTGTCCTGGTCAAGGTCATATAATCGGCCGCCTGAAATGACTACAGGACCCCCGAGGCTGTTCTGGTGTTGGGTTCCCCTGTCCCTCACCCGCTATCCTTTAGCAAAACAAATGCAGTTTCTCGCAGTCCAATGAAGAAACGCATTAAATTCTTGCTTAGCAGAATCCCAGCCGTGCCCTCTCTAATTAATATTTCAACAGAAGCCCTTTGGCAAATTGGGTGTTTTTTTTATATTGTAAATAACAATACGAACAACATCTCAATTCTTATAATACTACAGCAAGATAAATGTGTGTATATGTATATGTATATGTATATATGATTTCTAATAGGCCTATAGCCTATTTTTAAATCAAATGCAATACTTTGCATTCACATACATAGGCTAAATAACTTTTTTTTCCTAATCGTCGATTGGTGTTAAAATCGAAAAATCGCTATTTCAGTTTAATAAATGCGTAAACCTTTTTGCATTGTGGGGACGTTTTTGGGAGACGGCCGTTTCAACAAGAGGTAGCCTAAACGGGAAAAAGAAACAAAAATGTTAAATGGCTTCTCCCGAATACTGACGTTATTGATTTAAATTATTGTAAATACCTGCGCGAAATGACGCCAGCCTGCAAGCTTGGAGCATCGTCGACCAGTTCACACAAATGTCACCGGACTTCTGGATGTTTCTGGAAGTGTATCACCGTTCGTCTGGAACTTTGAGGACCGAAACGCTTCATCTGCTTTCCAGGAGCCTAATAACCTATTTATGTGTGCAAATATGTAATATATAATACAGTAATATTGTAAATGTAGCCTACTATATAATGCCCCAAATGCTTCTCTTCGCATACCCCATCTATAACGACCAGCTGAAATTTATATAACATAGGTATTAGGGGCGAGCGGGAGGGACGATTCCGAGGGCCTCTGTGTGAAAGGGGCCCTAAAACTTTGGGACTGAATTGGATTGATCTGGGATGGGGGGTGCAATATGGTATGCTTTAAAGAAGCCCAAATCTTTATCAGTCACCCTGATAAGAATAGATCTACAATCTGGTGAACGATGGAATGATAGTGTCACCATGGCGCAAAGACTCACCATTTCTATGGCCGTGCGTTTGCGACGGACACTATCATAAAGGGCGCCGGAGGACGCAGGGCTGGGGACCGTGAAGCCGCAATCCTGAGCTCCGGCACAGGATTTTCCTCTCTCACTTTCAGGGGGTGGGTCCAGATCAACCTTTCGCACGCCGAGGCAGCACTACATGGGGCTGGATGCAAACTTCCTGAGACTGTGACTTACTGCTTCGACTTGGATGCTTTCCTGCACTTTAGAGTGGATTTATGTGGAAATTGCTTTGAAATGACCAGAGAGAATATCCATTTAAATAATGCCTTGGTAGATTACGAGAAACAGAGATAATTGTGATGAAATGCTTTGTTATTTGAATTTTCTTTTTTTAAACCACTGTTTGTTAACTTTTAAATATTATTTTCAATAAATATGCGTTCTTGCTTTGCTATGCGGGAGTACACATAGCACCAGATTATAAGATCATTACCCAACAAGAAAAAACATCGACGAGAAAATCCACTTACCAAATGCTAGCAATAAATAAAGGCAACTTTCCTTAATCTCACTTGGAGGTGTCGTGTAGGAGGAGTTCGTTTAAACCCTACAAGTAACGGATTTTCCCCCTATAAAAAGAAAGATTGGAGCCTGATCGTATCACTGGAAGGCAGTGCCTGAGGTCCGGGAATCGGGGCAGGTAGGATCTGTCGGAATTTTTTGTCCTGTAAAGCAAATTGTCTCAAGGTGAGCGAGTACAGAAAATAAATGCAAGAAAAAATACTTTTCAATAGCCAAGGAAGGGGTGCATTGCAATAACGCATGTCTAAAGTCAGCTTCCTGGCGTGTCGGATTAACGCGCAGATCAAAGTACTATAATTAACTGAAAATGTGAATTAGTGGAGTGGAACTTTTGATGTGTAAGTTTTTTTTTTTTTTTGCCTGATACTTAATGCTGTTCTTCTTTTGACGTTCCATGCTTTTATTGTAAATAGTTTTTGCTTTCTGCTGAAAATATTACCCATAGTGTCGGACTGTTTTTCCATTTAAATTAATTGAAATCAATATGTCGACGAGTACGGTGGTGATGGCATGTCGCCGTTTCACCTATATAAATGTGTGGTGAATGAACATGTTACAGGGCGTGTGGAAAAGGAAGCACACTAGTAACAACGACCTTGATCACAATAATAATTCTATTGTTATTATTATTATTATTATTATTATTATCGATATTAATAATAATAATAATACTAATAATAATAATAATAATAATTCTTATTATTGATGCTAATGCTTTAATATTAATATACGTACATGACAGTATCAGTATACTCAATACCTTATTAATGTTTGAAATGTAATTGGAAACAAATACTATTACAGTATTATGAAAGAGGTGACTCACCGTAGTTTTAACTGTAACTGTATTAAAAGTGATGAAACTATATGGTGTAATGAATCAGATAATTAGATTGATTCTTGGATTTATTTCCAGTTGGTATGTAAATGGGTGCTAAGTAAATTCATCAAATGAAAATACAAATTTAGTAGGGCTACATTTTATAAAGAGGATCTGGCATTAAGCAGTAGACCCAGATTGTGAATTTATACAAACACTATCCATATTATTTTACATATTTAAGGTGTC